GTGCAGATACGATGTGGGTATCCCTACATCAGGCGTACATGTGGAGGCTAGGACACGGAGGCATATAAGGATGATGTAAGGCTTATACTTGGGGAAAAAACGAGTCGGAAACTCTTTACACTTCAGGAGTCTAGCCTAAACCCTATACTGCAATCCTAAAACCCTAAACCCTAAAACCCTGAAACCCGAAACCTCTCTCCTCTCGCCGGAAACCCTAAACCCTAAAACTCCAAACCTCAAGCCTAAACCCGAAAACCTGCAATCCTAAATTCTGGAACCCTAAACCCTAAAACCCTAAGCCCTAAATCCTAAACCCCCAACCCGTACTCCTAATCCCTAAGCCCTAAACCCTAAACCCTAGGCGGAAAGGGGGCGCCCTTAATCCTAAACCCCAAACCCTAAATCTAAAACCCTAAACCCTAAATCCCAGGTATGGCTGCAACTCTACTGAGACCCGCTTCCCCAGTGGAGGCTTTAGCTGTCGCCTGGAGGGCGAGCCGTCACTTGATTCCACTTAGCATTTAGATTTTAGGGCTTAGAGTTTAGAGTTTAGGACTTGCAGTTAAGGGTTTAGGGCTTCGGGTGTGGCTCGGGTTCTGCCCCCCTGGTTGCGAACAAGTGGAAATCATGAAGGCTGGCTGTATCTAAGGTGCGGCGGCTAGGTATTTTTGGAGCCAGGATTCAGAGTTTCAGGACGGATTCAGAGCTAATTTGGGGCTTTGAAGTTTGGAAGGTTCAGCACCTTTAGGGTGTAGGAATTCCGTTGAAATTTCAGGGTCTTGGAGTTTCGACTTCATGGGGTTGAGGTTTCGCAAAATCATGGGTCTCACTTTGGGTCCTTGCAATGTTGATTTCGGATGGTACAGTAGCAAGTGTGCAAGAAAACCTGCGCTCTTGAGTCACTTCCTGGGGCGGCATGAAGTGGCCTGTCCCAACCCTCAACCCAAAGCTCAAGCCTAAGCCCCTGAAACCCGGATAGGATTGCTTGGGCGTGGACCCCTCTCTTGAGTCTTTTCGGCCATCCTGACACGCCAAACCTTCATTTCTGGACTTAGTGGCGGTTAATTAGTAGGGATTAAGGGCATGTAATCCCTATGTAGTCGCCACATTCCCTACCTAATAGATTCCCTCATGTCCCACTAACCACCAGTAATGTTGACTCAGTTGACTTCACGTTAGGGACTCGACCCACATTTGTAGAATCCCATCGCCGGAACACAATTTTTGCAAGACCCACAGTTTTTATTTCTCTCAGAAACATTTTTTCCTAGGGACGCTAAAGTTCAATAAGTTGTAATTGAATGTGTGTCAATTTTCCAACTTACATTTTGGGCAGTATCATTATTATTCTGGGCCCCCCGCCAAATGGAGATAGATCGTTCGAAAGGGGGGGGAATAATGCAACGCCAGCATTTAGAAGATATCAACTCCACTGCGCCCGCGCGAACAACACAAAGTTTCCACCAGGTAGAGCCGGGGTAGGCATGAAACCAGATCCTCAGCTTATGAGCTGTGCCCTGATCCCCACAAACCTCTTGTACGAAAGCTTAAAACCTATTGGGCCTCAAAACTTGCGAGGGTGAAGGATGAGTCCCAAACCATGTCGTCTCCCCAAGATGCCCAACGCAACTGCTTTCAAGCGGCCGAAGTCCTCCACTTCAGACTTCATACTGTAAGCTCCCCAAACGCCCAGTTGGAAGAATGGAGATCCCAGCCTAAACCCCAAACTCTAAACCCGCCACACAAAACCCTAAACCCCAAACCCAGTCGCCCTCAACGCCTAAACTCTGATTCCTCAGCCTCTGTGCCTTGAACCCCTGTTTAAGGTTGGAAGTAGTGTTTAGGAAGATCTTACGGATATGTATGTATGTATGTATGTATGTATGTATGTATGTGTGTGTGTGTATGTATGTATGTATGTATGTATGTATGTATGTATGTATATGCAAAAAATACAGACCCCCAAAATGATCCCATTACTACATTGGGGAATCTAAGGGTTTATGGGGAGGTTCCATTTTTTGGATCCTTTAGCGGGTCTGGGTAGGGTACGTAATTGGTGTATAGCGGCTCCAGGGCTAAGGGCCCATGCCCATTGGGTTTTGGGTTTTGGGTTTAGGGTTTAAGGGTTTAAGGGTTTAGGGTTTAGGGGGTCAGCGGGCTCAAAAGGTGGGATGCAGGTAGGTGGGTTACAGGATCCTTAGTATATGGTATATGAGTAGTTCCTAAACCTAGGGACCCATTTTAGTACCCCTAAACATTAGGTGCCGGAATATACTCTTGAACCAGAAGGGGCCATGATTTTGAGAACAACCCACATACTCTTTTATACCCTACCTTCCTTCATCCCACCTTTTGAGCCCCTTTGACATGGTGTTTATCTCAGCCTTCTCTACATCTTACGCCCTCAGCTCCTAAACCAAAAATCTAGGGGTTAGGGTTTAGGGAAATTCTATAAACCATGAATAAACCCTGCTTTCAGGGTTTTTGCCACCCCAATACATACCCCATTATAATATAGTGCTTTCCATTTTCTTTTCCATCATCCCAATATAACCTCAACATAACCTTAAAACCTGACCCTGAACCTTAAACCTCAAACCCCAAACCCTATACCCTAAACCCTACACAGGCTTCCACTTTCTTCTTTCATTATCTCGATATAAAACCCTAAACCCCAGGCTTGAAGGCTCTTTTTTTTGCTAAGGCTGGTGGTCCTCACATCACCAGCGCTACAGCATTCTGCGGATGCAGCACACTTCGCTAAAAGGTTCAACCTCGACGCTGGGATCTCGCTTTAGGGTTCAGGATGGTTAGGGTCTAGGGCTTAGGAGGGTTGAGTTTTTGGGAAGAGTTTCGGGTTTGCAGTGTGTTTAGGGTCTGGGGGTTCAAGGGTTCGGGGGGTTTGAAAGTTCAGGCTTTGTTGTTTTCAGCTCTAGGTTTCGGAGTTTAGTTTGTTGCAGTTGTTGGCCCACTGACTGCAGCATTCCCGCACTACTCTCTTCGATTCAAAGTCTCAGAGAAAGTCTGGTAAACGGCTTTATCTGATGCCTTTCCAACTGAAATGTCAAAGTCTCCTACAATCTGCAAGTTGAACTCCCCATGCTCTAAGCTCCTCAAGCCGAAGCCCCAAACTCAAACGCTGGCGTCCAAACCCCAAACACCAAAACCTTAACTCTATAGAGAGGACGGTAGTTTCCATTTTCTTCTCCATTCCACCCCTTAAGCTTGAACATATATCCGTACGTATCCCCTCTGTACCCCGTGTATAGCTCCTATATGTAGCCCATATACCTCCTCTAAATTTAGAGGGCTGTGACCTTAAACTCTAAACCCTAAACCCTACCAGGCCCTACCAAGCCCGGCCTTAGGTCTTTGCCAGCTTTGCGGGTAAAAGGGAAACCCTGAACCCTAATGCAGACCCATGATTAATAAACCCCTTCCCCTTAATAGGGACTATAGTAGGGATCCTCATATTAAGGCCCTTAAACGGAGGGGGTTTATTAATCATGGGTCTACATTAAACCCTAACAGACCTTGACCAACCTAGGATGACAACGATTACGAGCAGCTATTGCAAGCCTGGAGGGATGCAGATGGTGATGCCAAGGCGTTATCAGATGGGCTTAGGGTTTCTGGGGTTTAAGAGTTTAGAGTTTAAGGATTGTAGGTTTTAGGGCTTCTGGGCTTCTGGGGTTTTGGGTTTTGGGGTTTAGGGTTTTGGGGTTAGGCTTTAGGGTTTGGGGTGGGCTTAGGGTCCAGGAGTCTAGGGTTCCCTTTCCCTTTCCCAGAAAGATTACAGTAGAAGCCAGGAAGCTGGAATTCAAGTAGCCCCCCCCCCCACCCCAAAACCGGGGAAGAGAGAAAGCCAGAATACATTATATCATTTGAAGGGCCCAAATTTTGCCTGTAATTTTACAGGGTTTAGGGTTGAGAGTTCTAAGAGTCTACAGAAATCCTAAGGGTCCAAGTACCCCATAGTCGTATGAGTAGGGCACTGTTTGCAGGTCCAGGTTCGGTGGGCTTGGCAACGTAGCGTTACACTTCTTAGACAAAAAAAGGCCTAATGCGCCTAGCAGCATGTGCAACATATCATGGTTTTTATCTGGTTGTAGAAAGGGCTATTGAAGAATTTTTGTGAGAATATATACTCGGAGTTGAAATAGGGAGACCAAAAATGAAGACCACGAGTCTCATACTTCTCCGTATTACAACTACCAGTATTAAAGCCACTTGAACCCCAAGCACCGAATTCTTGAGCACATGAAACGCTAGGGAACCCTAAAAGTCCAAGGACCCAAATAAGGTTTTAGGGCAAGAATACTATGATATTAATGGTATTTGGGCCCTAGAACCCTATCATTTGGGTCCTTGGACCCTAAACCCTAAACCCTATATACCCCTATAACCCCTTTTAAAGGACCCTACTATTTGGGTCCTGGGACCCTAAGGGGAAGGCTATGGGGACTTGTTGAACCTAAGGGTCCAAGGACCCAAATACTTAATTAAAATAGGGTTTTAAGTCCCAGATACCATGCATATTATTTGGGCCCTAAAACCCTGTTATTTGGGTCCTTGGACCCTTAGGGTGAACCATGATGACCTATGTCAAGGTTGCCTCGAGTCTGCTTTCGAGACTCCTGGGGGGGCCTCCTAAAAGCTGAACGGAGATTTTGGGTTTAGGGGTTTAGGGGTTTAGGGGGTTTAGGGGTTAGGGGGTTAGGGGTTTAGGGGTTTAGGGATCTAGGGTTTAGGGGTCTGGGGTTTAGGGTTTAGGGGTTTAGAGGTTAAGGGTTTAGGGTTGAATACAATGTGCTTACTAAAGCCCAAGACGGAATCACCACTATCAAGTCAAGCTCAACATTCTCCCAGTGAAGACCAAGTAATCCACAATCTCCGAACCGGTTGTGGCCATGTGAAAGGTGGCGGCCTGTAGATGGCTCCAGCGAGAGGGAACTTCCCGCTGGGGCGTCTGGATTAGGTTCAGCAAGCAGGTGCGCATGGTCGAGGAGCCCCTCCATCCCAAGTAGTAAAGTCATTTTCATGTTTTAGGAACCCCAGCTATACACAGTTTGGGGTTTAGGGCTTACATAGGTTTTCGGGTAGTCCAATCAAACGAAACAGGGCTGCTTGTTTGGGCACCCAGGTTTCCGCCACTCAATGGCTGCTTCCCGACCTTCTACATCTTCATGTTCTTGATCCTTGACCAGAATTAGTACGAGAGGGATATAGACGATATAGATGTCAGATCATGGATCGAGCAAGCCTTAGCACGTCAGATTCCTGGAAATGGCTGCTTTAGGTTCAGGATTGCAGGTTTAGCATTTAGGCTTAGGTCACTACAAAGACCGATGATGCTCAGGACCATGGGAACTGCGTTCGTCTTCAGACTGCCGAGGGTGCTGAAAGCGTGCCGAAAATGGTGGTGCGACACGATGCCATCGCAGCTGAATCCGATTCTGGGTCCTCTGTGGGTATACTTTTGGGTTATTTCGGGCTCTTGAAGAATAGGAATAGTCGCACCCCTTCTGGCATAGAAGCCCTTCTGAAGAAATCTCATAGATGACAAAGGAATTGGGAACCCACGGACTTGTCGGACATCGAGAGGCGGCAAAAGGATCGGGCTAATTACACCCGCGCAGACTTCACCTCCAACTTGATAGCCTGCCATCAGGCAAAGTTTCTGGATGAACATTTAGGGTTTAGGGTTTAGGAGGGACCCCTACTAGGGACCCTTAATCC